GCAGGAGCCCAATACCCTCTCCCAGGAATACCTGTCGCCCTGTCCCCATCCACCTTCCCTTGGAGCTGCCTCTGCCCACAGTTAAGCCCAAAGAGCTCATGCCCAGATTCACGGCTGACGGGCACTGTGCCATCCCTGACTGAGTCCTGCTTCAGGGCTGTCCTGCCCCAAACAGCCAGGGGTGGGACACCACACGACAGCTCAGACACTTTGTGCTGTTCATGCTGGACCAAAGGTAAGAAGCGGCCAAGGCAGAGACCCCGCCCTTGACCCTGCCCTTACCCCTGCAGACGACATCTTCACACCGTGTCCTCGGAGGGCCTCCATCTCTGGCTCTGACACCTCGCTGAGTGGCGCGTCGCTCCCCTCCTCCTCCTCTGCCTGCAGCAACACCTCCTTCGAGGGCACAAAGTCAGCATCTCGTGCAGGATCATCACTATCTGTTTCCTCCTCCTTCCTCCGCCGGCTCCGACGCTTTTTCTGGATATGCTCAAGCTCCGATTCCGGCTCCTGGGCACCCTCGGTGGGAGCCGGAGGCTGGTACACTGATGTCAGCTCCTCTGCCAGCTCCTGCAGGTACAGCAAAGCCCTGGGACACCAAAGGCATTGCCCAGAGGTGAGCAGAGGGACCACACAGGGACCAGCTAGCCCTCCCTCCAGGACCAGGCGGGACGCATCCCTCCAGCTTGTGGTCTGGGCGAGCAATTTGCTCCAGCCTTGCCCAGCCAGGCTGCAGCAGAGCCTGTCTGGATGCACCGCCAGCCTCCAGGCCGGCCACTCGGACAGCCAGCATCCCCTGCCCCTCCCCAGGGAACGCCAGCCTCCCCAGGTCTCTGGGAGCAGGCAGGGGAACGCATCCAGCAGGCAGAGCAGCACATGGCCCTTTGCCAGCCAGAAAGTGGGAAAGCCAGAGATCTTCCTGTGAGTGCCCTTAGCAAAGGGAGCTCCCACACCACCTTGCTGCAGGTGCCGCACCCTCGCTCTGCGCAGGGGAGGGGACCGGGGCACTGCAACCCCACCAGCTCTGCCCCTGCAAACCCAGGGCTCGTGCAGGCTCTCGGAGAACACAGGCAGTGCCTGAGCTGCCTTCAGAGGCCCCAGAGCGCACAGGTTACCCCCAGGACTCCCTTTTAAGCAGTGGGTGGCTCACACAGCTTGTTCCACTCCCCCCCAGACAGTCAGGAACCAAGGAAACCCCACTGCAGACAGCCCACTGCCGTCGAAGACCCCACCCAAGCGCATCTACAGCCCCTGCGGTTCCCCACGTCCCCGTGCTCCTGGATCCAAACACATTCTCCTAAAGCCAGAAAAGATCGTTCTGTGGGGAACCAGTCTGTCCCACCAACGTGGGACAAAGTCCTTCAGGAAAGACACTGAGACCCCCCCCCAGGGCGAGGCAGAGGTCTCAATGAAGCACTCCAAGAGCGGCATCTGCCTGTCCTTCCAATTACCCCGGGGCACCCGCTCCTGGACCCCCCCCATCCATTGCCCCTGCTTACACTTTGGCCGCTCGCCTCTTGGGGCGCCCGCTGGGGGGGGTCTCCAGGCCTTCCGCCGCCCCGCTGCTCCCCAGCATCTTCTGCACACAGATAGGCTCCGGGGTCGGGCACTCCAGGTCCTGAGACAGTTTCAGCAGCAGCATCTCTGTCTTGGGCTTCCGCCCGCGCTTCCCGGGTGCCTTCGGGGGCGGCACGGACCCATTCTCTGAGGTCCTCGAGGGCTCGCCGTGAGCCTCAGTCTCCGCAGGGGCTTGGCCACTGGTGTCACTAGGACTACTTTTTGTTTTTTGGTTTTGGGCAGTTTTACTCTGGGACTTGGTAGCTTCTACTGCCTCCTCAGAGTGGCCCAAAGCATCCAGGTCTCCGAGTGGCAACAGCTCCCCTGCCCAAAAATAACAGCCAGAGTTATCACGAGAACACAGCAGGGCTCTCCT